TTCTGTTACCATTATAAGTCTAAAAAATACAGAAGACATTTTAAGTTTAAATTTGGACGAAATTACATAATAAAAAACCTAGAATAACTATTTTAGTTATTTTGTTGTGATTGTATAATATTATTCGTGGGTACTTGAAACTTCTAAAGTACCTATACTATTATATATCTACGGAGTATGGACTATGATAGTATCAGAATTTGTTGTTGACGTATAACGCGTTATAAGTACCTAATGGATATTGTGATATAATTAATTTGGAATTTATTATAGGTACCTATTATAGGTCAATTTTTTGTTTAATACCATAGATATGTATCTAATATGTCTTAGATACCTAGACTGACATACCGTCTCCGCTCAGAATCGTTTTTCTTATATAATGATATTATATCATTGAATTCAAATTTAATACTATCCATTATACAGTGACGCACTTGTAACATACTGAACAGCAGAGCACTTTTTTTAATAATTGGATTAAAATAGGTGGATTTCCAAAGTGATGGGAATGAGCCATTAAAACTAAGAAATATTGAAGAGATATGTGATAGGTGGAGAAAGTAGGATGATAAATCTGCAGATAAATAAAAAATATAGGAGAGAGACCTTCCGGACCGATAGCACTGTTATAAGAGAGAGTATCTAATTCATTGAAAACATCAAGGAGTTCAATATGAAGTGTATTGATATATTGTATACATATATATGTAAGTGATAAATAGATTGAACTATATTAGACTGAGAATTATTATTTGTAGGAGCTGTATCATTATATATTGAAGAGAAGTATTGAGTAAATAAGTCAACAATTTCTTGACCCTTTTCAGTTATATTTTGGTTAAATGACATTGAGTTTGGAAAACCAGGCATCTTTTTAGATTATTTATAAAAGACCAACATTTCTTAAGATGGGAATTAAAAGATTTTTGAATATTATTTAAATATCTGGTGTACTCTAGTTTACTTAAGGTTTTACATTGAGCACATGTGGAAGAAAATTGTCGGTAATCACTAATCATCATGAGGGTTTGACAACTTAAAAATAGAATGTTGGTATGTTTTTAATTTGATATGATTTATTAAGTCTTCAGAAAACCAACAGGGAAATTTAGATTTGTAGTATTTTTTCTAGGAATAAATGTGTTAATAGCATAGAAGAGAAGTGAACAAAATTCATTGGCAATGATTGTAATATTATTACTAATTAAAAAAAAAATTATCCAGTTTATTGAACCTAGGTAAGATAAAATACTATTATAATCACCCTTATACCATGCATTGGTTTCTTTGAAAAAAGATAGTGGAGAAGGTGTATATAACTGAGTGTAACTGACATTAATAGGAGGGTGATAATTAGAATTGGATAATATAAGATCAACTATTGAACCATAATATCTATTGATGATTGTATTTATTTGTAATAGATTAAGAAATGCTAGGTTTTCCAAAAAAATAGCTTCAGGAGAAGATAGGTTTAAGTTAGAATTTAATGGTGCTTTATTTTAATTTGGTAAATTAAAATCACTGAAAAGTAGAAAATCATCATTTAGGCTAGAAGAAATTAGATTATCTAAAATAGAAAAATATTCATTTTACAAAGAAGATGGAGAATTTGGTGGTAAGTAAGTACAATCTACAATTACATTTTTTGTGTTATTCATTTTAACAGAGACAAGGCATAATTTAATGATATTATATGAATATGAATTAGTGAGGAAACATATTTTTTATTAACTGCTATTAAGACAAGCTAGAAACAGATCCATCACATCTATAAATTAAAAATTTCATAATTTACATGACCAAGTTCAAGTGAGCTAACATTATTATGTAACCAGGTTTCAGTAAAAGCTAAAATGTTAAAATCTAAAAAATCTCTAATGGTGTAAATAAATTAAGTTTAGTATAAACTATTATTTATACCTGTTACATTTTGATAGTAGCAGTTGAATATATTGTGAATTGAAGTTAGTTTTTTGAATTAATAATTTTTGGAGTGCCTTTGATGTATTTGATGATGAGATACTGATCTCCATTAGATTGACAGTTGAGAAATTTCCGGTGAAGGTTTGACATGTACTCTTGTTGCTGTTTGGTCCAATCAGAAGAGAAGCGAAGGTCTTTCCATATCGAGTCCAACTTTAATTTATTTTGACTTGAGAATACTCGATAACTCAAAAATATCTTTTTGATCAGAAAAACATAATTTTACTTCCCGAGGTTCGGAAGTATTAGAAGAAGGTTTATCCAGATGAGTGACAGAATTTGGTTTGGTCTTTAATTTAAGAAAATCGAGTATGTTTTGAATTGTAGTGGAATCTGAGCTTTGTATAAGTCACATCATTTAGAGCTTCTGGTAAATTAAAGAGTAACACATTTTTCAGCCTTGATTGTCTGTCTATCATCTCAGATATTAATTCGTCATTAATTGAAAATGTTTTTTTTGTTTATGATGATTCAATTTTAGCTTCAATAGTTTCCACTTTAGTTTTTAAGGAATCTTGTTGAGATGATAAAGTATTTAATTGCATGGTATTTTCCTGAACTTTACTAAGAAGAGCTGTTAATTTATCAGAGAGAGTATTGATTAGCCCCAAAGTACCAAGTAGAATCATTTTCCTAACAAAAAATATCCTTTTGAAGAAAATTTAATCATTTTGTCACAAAAGGTGATGACAGACACAAAAAATTAAAATTAAAAAATTAAAACTCACACCATTGTAAAATAAATACATTCATTGCTCCGCCCAAAATCTAAAAAAACACATAATTGTAAATGCAATATATTCATTCCCAGTGCCGCATTAAGCCAAATTGCCGCCCCGGGGAAATATAAAATTTGCCGCCTCTATATATTTAAAAAAATATCATATGATTTTCACCTCTCTTTTTTCGCTATCATAAACACAGCAGAATTATATTTTAATACGTTTCTCCGTTAGTTTTAAAATATTAAAGAGTTACCTAGTAAGTACTTAGTAACCTATACAATGAATTTATACTTAATTTTTCTTTTTAAACATATTATTTATTAAATATTCATAATACAATTAATTAGAATTATAATTAAAAATTAAAAATAGTAAATTAAAATACATTTTTATTCAACTTATATTAATTTTTTTCTTGATTTCAAAACTGCAAATTTATGTATTATGTATGACCAATCAATCTGTTGTAAAATATCGCTTTCTATATTTAATATGGATAATGATGACATCTTTTCATCAACTAAAGCAGATCTTAGATAATTTTTATTCTTTTTAATACAGAAAATGACCGTTCTCCACTTGCATTGGATGAAGCCATACAACAAAATATTCGCAATACTATTTCTTGTGCATAACCATTACACATTGATTTACATACATCGTACCTGGATGACCAACGAGTTGAACATAGTTTTTTTATTTTGACACAACCTGGATTATTTTCGATAATATTAGTCAAAATATTCCACCTGAATGTTGAAACAGAAAAGAAATATTATAGATTGCTTGACATATAAAAAAAATTGTGTGCCTTCTTGAGTTGTATCTGCAGCATTGGAACCAATTAAAATCAAAGAATGTGCTGAACATGACACAAAAAAGGCTGTCGACGAATAGTTTTTAATTCGAGTCTGTAATCCGTTATAAACACCAGACATATTAGTCGATGATAAGATTACTAAAATGATCGTCAAATACGTATTTTTGCGATTATTATTAGATCATACAGCCCGCATTGCCCGCAACTGCAAACAGGTGACAGCTCTTCGATGTGATTGAGTCACTCGCCGAAAATTAAAAGCTATAAATAACACAGAAACACCATTGTGATGCATTTAGTTATTATTGAATCGTTGATAGATAAAATTATTATTGGTATTAATATTTTTAATATAATAATAATTATTTTAAAAATTTAATACGAAATTCGTAACGGAGAACGTATAATATTATAATATGATATATTTTCTAAAAATCTGCCGCCCCTCAAATCACCTTAAAATTGCCGCCCCGGGGCAATTGCCCCCCCTTGCCCCCCGTTAAATGCGGCTCTGTTCATTCCCTCTGCTCAGAATCTAAATAGTTTACCGGAAAGCAAAGCTATTAACGAGATATTTAAAATTTTTGTTAATTTTTAAATTACTAAATTTGATTATTTAATTAATATGATAGGTTGACACAACGTTTCTGCTCAGAATTGTATTTAATATGCAATGATGTATCATTGAATTCATATTTAACACTTTTATTACATTGACATGCTCAATAACTACTTTACAACAGAGGGGCACTTGTCCACCTATTTATTTTAGTTTTATCTAATCACAAGTAAATAACAAGGTAGGTATTATTTTTTTTATATTGTGTACTCCAAAAAGTTTTTGGAGACAAGCCATTTCTTTTTTAGTTGTACATTTATATTTTATCTTTTAAAACTGAAATACATTTAATATATATAAACATAAAGGTAATTTATTATTATGAATTAACATGTATTTCTTTTTAAGAAAACAACATAGATTTACACATATTCCACATTAATATATAATAATATTGGGTATTACTATAGGTACTTAAAATTAAATGCATAAATAAGTTTTCATATTACGTTTTAGTATAATATATTATAATTAGATATAAACAAAAAAATGTTACCCATGAACTACAATAATAATCTAAAAATATTTTTAAAAATACAACTTAACTATTTTTATATGAATAATATAAATTAAATTAAATAATAAAATTTTGTTATATATATAAAAATTATCAAAATTAAAATTACGTATAACAATAATTGTGCTGTTGAATCCATACAAATATTAATATGTAGTTTAAATTCATTTTAACACACAATTTTTTGCTCAAAAATATTCAATGGGGTTATTAAATATAAAAACAAAATTTTCATATTTGGCTAGATATACATATTAAAAAATATTATTTAAAATATGAATGAACATAAACCTAACCTATATTTTTAGATTAAATAAAAAAGTATGACTTTTAAGACAACAATGATATTTTGTTTTCAATATCATGTCCAACTTCCTGATTTGGTATTGTTACATATCCCATACAACTGCCTGTATTACTGAGTACGTCTAAAACCATTATTGAAGTGGAATTACGAGTCAAATACCCTAAGTCCAACATGAGATTGAAAAAATAATCTAATGATTTCTTACTAGGGGTTTCAGTTGCTGCAATAATTGGAGGAGGGGTTGGATTAGTTTTTCTTGGTCCTTTATGGTATAACACAACCATCACATTTTCATAAATTATTAATTTTTGCATTACATCTTTAATTTTTGGATTAGAAAAATTACAAAAAACATTTCCAAAGTCTCGCCAATAGTTGTCAAGTCTTTTACATTTTAAAACATTTAAAATCGACCATATGCAATATATTTCCTTCTTCTCTGTTGTAAAATGATCAATTTTATTATATGAACCATAATAAGCTTTTACTTCTTTTATAGTTGTTGAAACATGTTTAAACTCCGGTTTGTTGAAAAGATATTCCAACTCATTATCAGTTAATCCATAAAAATCAGTAAACTTATGTAAATTATAGAACGGTTGTATTTGTATACATGAAGGCACTATGCTATGAATAGCATACCCAGACTTTCCGGTCGCAAATGCTTTAACAACTAAATTATTGTTTTTTAAAAATGATAAAAATTGCCTCAAAAACAAAATTATAAGCTTATAATCTTTTAACAAAGTCTCCGATATTGTTACTGTCTGTGTAAAAAAGTCGAGTTCATCAATTAAAACAAAACATTTCTTATCATAATGAATCTTTAAAAATGTACACAATGATTTAAGACCAGATGAAATGTCTTCTTTCTTCTTAAAGTTTTTGTAACTTGCATCATCACTCCATCGTTTACATAATTTTTTCTGTTGAATACTCAGTTTAGAACTTTTTTGTAAATAATTATGTAATAGAAAGGATTTGTGAATTATTTCTTTACATCCATCAAGAACACAATTGTAAGATTCGATATCATTTTCGATCTGACAATTCACATATAAAATAGGGTATTTTCCTAAATGCTTATCTATAATATTTGATTCGTTGCTAATATTTAGTTTTTTAAAGACTTCATAGTTAGACGTGTCTGTAACTGGTTCATCAGCCTTTGCCTTTGTAAGTGGTTTTCCCAGAGAATCTACCTGAATTTCCAAGAAGTATTTAAGCATACTTAAATTTGTTGATTTTCCATACTTGCGAGGAGCCGTGATAACTATTCCTTTGGTTTCTTTGTGACAAAAAACTTCTTTTATCATCAATGTTTTATCTACAAACGCTGTTGTTTGAAGAATTTTGATAAAATCAGATGAAGAAAAATTAAAAATTGTTTCTTCTTGAATTGAAATAATCTAAACGTGGAAAACTCATCAATAGTTTGTAATTTGCTTTCAAATTTTAATTTTTATAATTTGTGCAATTTTAAACTTACCTCTATGTTCCTCATGATACTTTCAATTGTTACATCACAACTCTTGCAGTTGGTGCAGCCTGTCATCGTCTAAAAAAAAAACATTTACATATTTAATATAAAATTTTTTTAATAATAATTATTTAGTAAAAACTAGAAGTAGGTCTTTTACTAGAAAATATTTTTACTGTTATGTGCTTATGTGATTTATGTACCTACTTATAGTACAAAATAAAAAAAAAATTAACAAATCATCAATATTTTTATTTTTTTTTTTTGTAAATTTAAATTACTTATTCATGGAAATATATCCATAAAATACTAGGAATATAATTTTTACAAAAAACACTAAGTTTATCTGTCAATGTTAAAATAATATACATTTTATTATGCCAATATTTTGAAGATCATACATTATACTTTTTGAAAATTAGAATTGGGTATTCGTGTAGTATGCTACCTACCTCTACTTAATAACAATTTCTATTACTTAAGAGGACATCGCACCAACATTTGTTTTCTCCGTCTTACATGTACATGACATAGCAAATCATACGCTTAGCAGATCACATTTAGCTTCATTCATTTTAAAATTAGAGTGAGTTGACCTCTTATAAAATTTGAAGGTAAGAATATTATCTAGGGCATCTCATCGGCTTTTTGTTATATTTCAATTTTAAATTAATTTATGAGTATTAAAAGATGTATTTAAATTTACAATTTTAAAATACTCACAATTCATTTAAAAATTGAAAAACAACAAAAAGCCGATGGGACGCCCTAGAAAATATTCTAACCTTTAAATTTTATAAGAGGTCAATTCACTTTAATTTTAAAATGAACGGGCCTAAACGTGATCTGCTGAGCGCAGGGCCGTCCTTTGAGGGGGGCGTGGGGGGGTGTCTAACCCCCCCCACTCATGATTTTTTAAATATTTAGTCGGCAAATTGGACACTTGGTAAAAGTTGTCGGCAATTTGGCATCGTCAGTATTTTAATAGTATTTTTATTATTTTCAAAATATATTTGTATATAATATTATATTTCTATAAAAGATAAGACGACGACAACGTCGGCACTTCGATTACACCGAATGCTAAAAATAGATGTGTTTATCTACTATCAGTGCATTACGCGAGTGTTGTACAAACTGTTACCCGTAGTCGTATGTATTGACTTATTCTTGGTATTAAAAAAAAAATAATTTTATTATTCTTGAAATTTGTTGCACATTTGCAGTCGATAGTTATCAGTTGTCGTCTATTCGACTATTCGTCTGAGGTTAGTGGTAACGTGTTCTGTAGCTACCTACTAGAAATTAACTGTTTAGTCTTCTATTTATTATAATTTTAATATTATGTGATTATTTTTTCTTATTATTCATATAATTTTGCATTTTACTGTTTAAATAATCATGAATTTTGGCAATAAAAATGAAACAAATTCCGGCAAACGAAAGCGGATTAAATTAGAGTTCTTGGAATGTGGCAAAACATTTGACAATGATAATTTAAGATCATCTATAGCTGATGATAGATTGGATTCACTTATGATTTTAAGCCTGGAAAAAGATGTGGTTGATCAATTAGATATGAACAAAATAGCAACATTATGGGCAACTTTGAAAAACCGTAGAATTAATATCTAATTGTATGTATAATATTATTATAAATTGTATTAATAAAAATATTTTGTTTAAAACTGATAGGTATTATACTTATAACATGTTCTTAATTAAGATTTAAAATACACATTTTTATTAATTTGGGTAAATGGAATGTGGAAGTTGTAAAATTATGATAAATTGTTAGGTACCTAATATTTTTATTTTCACATGAGCAACTAATAAAGTAAAGAAATTTTTTTCTTCGTTTATTGGTCTTAACCATTGGCAACTATTTGTGAGGGGAATTACGGTTGGTTAAGGGACACATTACATGTGTGTTTGTGGGTTGGGATTTGTCGAAGAAACCCTGATGGTCATAAATAAATGGTATAAATTACAGGGCTGGAAGTGGTTAAGGCTATTTAAAAAAGTGACTAAGTGACTGAATTTATTCATAAAAGTGACAAAAAAGTTAGCTACATACATTTGTTTCGTAACAACTTCACAGTTATTAAACGTTTGTCTTTGAATCTCTACATACCTATGATTTAATTGATTCTAACTTACTTAATTTTGTTGAAATTACAAAAAAATAATGATAATAATAAACACAAATTTTAATAACAAATGATTAAATCATATTACCCATTTCAATTTATAATGTTTATAATTTAGAATAATATTCAAGATCATTGTTTAGGAACTTTCTTTATTTTAATCATAACTAAAAAACACGCCTATGGTTTGTTATAATAGGAATTCATCCCGGATGGTTTTTCAAATGTAGTAGACTAATAAATATACGAAAGTTTGATTAGGAACATTACATAAAAACAAAGATATTGGTATAATAATATGTTATATGCCTATAAACAAGCCTATTCAACAGCCGTAAGTTATAACACAAGAAAGAGGTGTACTTTATTATAATATTACATTTTTATTATTTTATAGCATTTTTATTATAATTCTATAGGTAGGTACTATAATTATATTTATTATTGATTATTGTATATGTATTACATTTTATTATTTTGGACTTGTATTAAATTAAATTTCATTATAATTTAATATATGATTTAAGTAAGCAATTAACATTTTTTATGATATTATATAATATTTTATGTAACTTAAATGTATTTTTCAATACAATTTTAATATATTTATACTTCAGTTTTGATATATTTTCATTCATTTTCGTCGGGACTTTTTTTTACCGCGATTCAGGCATGTTACTGTACATTCAAATATAAAGTTGGTGGCCATATGCAGTTTAAATATAAATTTAGGTACATTTTGAAAATAAGTGACATAAGTGACTTATTTTCTAAATAAGTGACTTAAAGTGAGTCAATTTTAAAAAAGTGACCTACTTCCAGCCCTGAAATTAAATAATAATATAAATATAAATTTAATATAGTAGAAAACGTATTCGAGCGAAGCGAGAAAAAAATTGTTCAGTCGGCAAATTAATAGATCTACCAACCCCCCCATGAATTGTTGTTCGGGACGGCCCTGGCTGAGCGTAAAATTTGGTATGTTGTACACGTGTAAAACGGAGACAACATATGCGGGTGCGACGTCATCTTAATGTATTGATGATCATCATTGTCAAGAATTTTAATTTATATATTGTTATGCTATGTTTAAGTTATCCCAGAGAACTTCAAATATATTGAGCACTGTCATATTGTGTTTCAATTTATTGACCGCCACCATTCTCTTTACATAATTTTGATAGTAAAAATGATTTTAAAGATTACAATATACTCTATTCACGTAATAACCATTATCATTTCTAATATTTATTACTTAATATACATTATAAGTATTTTTTTTCTACTTAGATTATTTTAGGTACAATTATTAGTTTCAAGCATTTTAACAATGAATCAATAAGAATAATAATTTATAAGATTGATATTAGTCATTAGCCAATAATATAATTTAGATGATTGAGTATTTATGGTAACAAGAGTTTCTGCGGAAAATAAGTATGTTTTTGGGAGGAAACTATAATAGCGTTGAAAGGGACATAACCAATAGTGCTTAGAATATGGAGGCCTCTTAAACACGGAAATTAAATTATTGAATAGTGATGCTAGGAGATAATTTGTTTAATTATAAATAATTATTTTACTACTTATGCATTTATTTAAAATAACAACATAGTATACTTAAAAATTAACTTTTCAAGCCTTTGTTTGACTAAATAAAAATAATTTATCAATTTATTTTTATAATGTCATGATAAAAGTATTAAACTCTGGCCCTCTAACTTGAACGGACATGGGGGGGGGGGGACATATGACTTGGTCTAAATACACAACTGGACATAGCTCATAAAGAAAGTAATATACAGAGAAACACAGATAGTTATATAGTTATATATAAACATATTTATGAATTAAATACTTACAATGCTATTTGAAACTTTTATAAATTTTGGCTCCATATCATCATCAACTGTGAAAAGTAAAAAAACTGTGTTCCACATGTTGTTGATACGTTTAGTTAAAGTGGAAATAACAGTATTGATCACTTTGCAACACTTATTTGCTTTCTTTTTACTCTAAATTAATAAAATAATTTTAAAAAAATCATCCAGTATTAATAAAGGTACCTACCTAGTTATATAATAGGCACAAACTTACTTCAACAACTTTGAGGAAAGTATCAAATATTTGCAATTCGGTGTTTAATTGCATCATCATGTCAAATCTAGTTGCTGTTCCTTTTGCAATGTTCATTTCAAGTAGTTTACGTCTATCATTTGTGTTTCGTAAACGTCTAAAAAAACATTTACAATTATTACGTTAAATAAGTAATGTATTTCGTATAAACACAGCACATAATATAATATATTAAATACTTCAACTTACCGTAATGAATCAGAATTATTAATAGACATGCTAAAACATCCATCGAAACCTTTAAATTTGCTTCCCATATTGATGTTGATAATTATTCTATATACAAATAGAAATATATATATATATATATATATAATCTGTGTACTGATGTTTCAAAGCTGTTTTGTAACTCACATCTGAAACCAATTATACATTTGACTATTGAGCAACTGATTTGCAATTGATTTAAAATTGACCTGCAGGCCTAGGTGCTCGAGATAGTTTGAAACTGATTTCTAATCAACCTTTTTTCAGCCGAGTGTACCGGCTACCTCCTACATATTATGTAATTTAACTGAAGTATCAAACTTGAAACGGTGGTTTGTGGATATATGCATCAATTATCAAGTTTGTAAAACAGTCTCACAACCGGGGGCATGTGTTCATGTGTAAAGAGAACGTATGAAACTTGATCGTAAGAATATTATTTGTGTTTGTAGGTGGGTTTTTACGACAGATCAATTTATTTAGCAAGTTTTGCGTATATAATATATCGTAAAATAAAAATTCTCAGAAGTCATTTAAAAACTGAAGTATCGTAAAAAACCCACATACAAACACAGATAATGTTCTAAAATCAAGTTTCATAATAGGTCGATTCACTCTAATTTTTAAACCAACGAAGCTAAACGTAATCTACTGAGAGTACATTATCTATGTTACGCACTTGTAAGACGGAGACAACAAATGCGCCCGTGTTACGTCCTCTTAAGAATTCGATAAACGATTACTTAGATATTACCACGGTATATACACATTGTTTAATACTTAAAATTATATAATCCAAGGTGGATTAATATCAATTCATCTAGATATTATATTCTAAAAATCAGTATCTCACAATCTCACACAAAATCATTAACGCCACATTCGTAGACATTATACATACCAAATTTAAAATAAAAGATCTTAGTTAACGTAGGTTAGATCACAACTCACAAACAACGAAATACGGCTGCCGGGCTGCGCCTACAAAGGCCAAACTCGAGATTTAAAATTTTAATTTTTAATGTTTACGGTTTACTGTTGAGTGTTTACGTTATCGACGAGTCGTTAGGTTAGCGTCGGGGTCGGGCGAGTGGCCTCTGCGGCTCTACTGCGCATGCGCATGATGCTCTAGTTACAGTGGTTAGTGGTTACAGTAAATTCACAGATTTCTATATTATAGTACCAGACAGCGAACTCCCGCCATGAATTGAAGCTTCAAGGTAGGTTGGCAATTGTATGGTATTTCATATGTCAAATAAGATGATATTATGATTTATTTTGTATCTTATTTTATTATTTTTAATCATGTTGTTTAAAAAAAAAAAAAATATTTATATAAGTCATTTTACATTTACTATTTTATTTGACCATTAAAAAAAATATTATTCCTAAAGCCCCGTTCACACGATCAAATAATTTGTCAAATATTTGATGTATGTCAAACTTCAAATATTTAAGAAATGGTTCTAAAATATTTGGAGTTTGACGAATGTCAAATATTTGACAAATTATTTGATCGTGTGAACGGGGCTTAATACATTTTGTATAATAAATAAAATGTTTGGCCAACCGACAAAATGGCGGCAGTCCACAGCTGAGCTTCATTTGTAACAATCTAGTGTAGTATAGAAGTCTGTGAGTAAATTATAGCAACAGTTGTACCGGCTGCCTAGTACCATTTTATCCCAATAATTTCAGTTGCTCTGTGACTATAGTAAATAGTGAGCACTGAGCAGTGATCTTTCATCGGGGCCCCTTCAACTATTTTTCCACCTAAAATAATTTCAAACGATGTAATGAAGACTATTTAAAATTTTTTTATTCTTTCTAACAATAATAATAGTATTTAAAAATAATAATATTATTCCCAGAATGCGATGAAACACTATTGAATAACACTACATTGGTACCTATCATTTTTAAAATGCTGAAAAGACTTCTAAGTGTTAAAATATTAAGGAAAATGTTGGTACCTGTAGTGTAGTACTCACCAAAATGTATAACAAAACCCAACTAGTGTAATAGGTACCTAAAATAATTGGGGACCAAACTAGTGTATAGTACCTGAAAAAATTCAGGACCCGATAAGTGTAGTACGATTAGCCCCTACGGTACTTGGAACCCAAGTCCCAACTAGGATATGCCGAAAAATGCAACACAATTTCGCTCTATGAAATATAGATCTTGTCCAGTGGCTTATGAATTATTTTCAGTATAGGCCAATTTATCACTATAGTCAATCATAGTACGACTAACATAGCCATAACTTTACATTTAGGGAGCTGGGTGGTTATAATAATTATGACATAAACAATACAAATAAAAATTGTGTAATTTAATTTTATAATTATGTAAAATTTATTTTTTAGTTCTTTAAAAAAATTTTAAATAAAATTGACAGTTTCATATATATATATAATATATATTTTAATGTTATCTTAAAGTATGAATTTAACATCAAAGTCATCAAAGCAATTACCTAAAACAATTATCTTTCCATAATATTAAATACGATGTAGGTACCTATATTTTATAAATGTCTACCTATATATTATGTAGTTGTAGTAAACTTGAATCTCCGTGTTAAATTTCTAATGGATTGACATTTTACCCTAATAGTGTTTTTACCTTCTACCCCAAAAATGTGTCACAAAAAGAATTAAAACAAAAATGTTTTTAAATATAATATAATATTTTTTATCAAGCATTAGCTGTGGACACATCAAACTCGAATGTTACTGACTATATATACTGACTGATATATATTAATATATCGTCTATAATAATCTAACCAAACAAAGTGGTTCACTGCTCAGAAATTTGTAAACTGAAAAAAACCATACTAGCTACGGTCCGTAGTATAGGTAGGTACCTATTGTATACCTAAACATACAAATAACAAATAAGACGCCCACTATCGGTGTTCACCACAGCTATTTGCCTATATATACTCCGGCCCACGAGAGTCCATATGTCCAAACGCGTCCGTCTCTGCATGTTGCCGAATAGTGGGAATGACATCATGGTGGGAGAAAACAGACGTCGTGTATTACTATATCGATGCGCGGTTTACTTTACGTATGGACTCTCGTGGGCCGGAGTATAGTGTGTACCTATACATACAAGTATCTACTGCTAAGGTTTACTTTGATCTTTAATATTGTATCATATTTATAAAATATACCTGTGTATTACATGTAGTTGTGTGACTTCTTGCGTTGAATGGGAAAGGAGAAACCGATAAAAACGAAACTATCTTCACTGTTGGCGATTGTTGTTGATGACAAAGGCGACTAGTGATTACGGTCTACGACAGTACAAAGAGAAGCTGAGCTATAGAAAAGAATACCGTCGCTTGTGGTGACTGGGGCAAGTGTCCAGCCTTGCGTGGACAATACTACCGCCCCCGACGTCAGACCTTCGAACGACAATCGTAATAATATTATATATAGGTAGGTACTTCTTCCCCGAAAACACTTGCCAAAAACACTGGACCGTGATCACGGGGTGGTGGTTACAACATAATTTTTGGTAGAAGCAGTTTTATTGTTTGTCGATGTGGCAGTTGTAGGTAGTTGCGCGCGCACAACACCCTAAAACAACCACTAGCCGCCAATCCCAAACGCCGTAACACAGTTTTATTTTATTTCAGTGGGGTGGAAATATGTGGGATTCGGGTGGCTTCGTCCTAACACAAAAGATCGATAATGCCCGAAAATAACACATTAGTGAATGCGCACGCCTTATTTTAGTGTTGTAATATTATGTATGTATATAGTATGCGTTTAGTAGTGCTCTGTTTGCACACTCATAGCAGTGGAGAAAAAGCGGTTGCCAAAAAAATATTGTGTCGCCGTTACAGGGTCGTATTCAAGGATGAATGTGGGGGGGGTCTAACCTCCTATTATCCTTTTTTTTAAATGTTATAAATTAGTGTTCTTAGTGTTAGGTAGGTACCTAGGGCGTTACAATAGGAAACAAAAAAAATGGCTAGGATTTTTGTAAATTTTTATTTCGTCATATCCAACTGACGGCACTCTACTACACTAATGACTAGTCTGTAATCAATAATCATATATTATATACCTATAATTATAATAAAAATAAAATTTGACTGTCACCCATCACAACACTGCAGCAACGACGATGCCCGTACTTAGGTTCAAATTTGTTTTCTGATCTCCCCCTCCCCTACAATATTATGTTTACACCACTGTATATAAGATATATATAAAAAAAGTGAAGCCCCCCACGGACAGTTTTCGATCTTTTCGCTACTTCAAATGTGCCGCCGTGCATCGGACGGTGACCATGCACGGTGAGCCGCTATGTTGGTAACACTTTTCCGGGAAACGATGCTGATGCTACCGCCGCTTCAGAAATGTTTCTGTTGGTCGCTGAATCCTCGTTGGCTCGATACAACGGGACGGCTTGTGCGTGTGGGAAGCACAGCTGATTTTATATTGTTGTCTGGCGATAGAAAGTTATAACTTTATAAGCTATGCATAGATAAAGGAAAGATTTTATCTATGAAGCTATGGACGTGGTATATACAGATATTATCTGTGACTGCTGTTGGGATGTCAACAATCAACATTTGTCTGGGGTCCGATTCCGATACATCGAAAATCTAAATTTCATATTATATATATTATCGTTTTTTTTCTTACAAACACTAAACAGTGCATAACTTTAATAATCTGATTTAAAAACAAGACTGTTAGATTCTACCGGCTTACAGCTCTTAGTATACTTTTAAAATTCTGGAGAAATCATGGTCACCGAAAAAAATGTACAAGTAATAATACAAGTTTTAATTTGTTATAGACAACAAAATTATTGTTTATTTCTCAAGGTTTTGTTTTCATACTTTTTGTATGAAATATTATTTATTATTATGATTCTATGAGAAAACTATATTTATTATTGTGACATTTTGATTCAAGGTTAAGGTTAAGCAATCTTGACAAGTTTCCAGTTATCCAAGATATCCAGTGATGAACTTACTAGCTACAGTTCTATTTGAAGAACAAGTAAGAAAACTAAAATGTATTATTGATATATTTTAGGATTAGGGAAGGGAAAATTAACTTACTTACATAGCACATACTATATTATACAGTGTGTAAACGCTAATTGAGAACACTCAATATCTTTGCGTAGAGCCCTGCAATTTGAATTCTGATTTCTTTTTCATTGTTATGACATAAAAATACACCATTTTTTTAAACTTAATTAGACTTGCGCATGAGTAGTACAACTTTTTTTTCTTAAATTACAACCACTTATTTTAACCACTAATTACTTTTTGTCTAATTTTTAATGCATTTTGGTGGCTTAACCAACTTTCTAAGTACAAAATTGACCAAGTTACAGCCAATCAACCAAAATACACTAAATTTTTAGATATTTTACTGTAATTCCGAAAAAAAATTTTCTAAAATGGTTTAGGCTTAACATTTTCACCCCTAATTACTTAGGTGTAATATTTAAGTGATACATAAATAAATGGATCTATTGGAATTTATTGATAATTTGTTCTTTAGTCAGTTGATTGAATGTTGCTGTTATTATATCTTTTAAAGTTTGAATATTTATAGGAGGGTCGGCATACATTAAACTATTAATAAATTCCAATAGATCCATTACTTGTAACATAATAAACAACGTACTTATTTATGTATCACATAAATATCGCTTGAATGATTTGGGGTGAAAATGTTAAGCCTAAACAATCTTAGATTTATTATTTTCAGAATTACAGTAACAAATCTAAAAATGTTGCATATTTTGCAGTATTTTTGTTGATTGACTGTAACTTTGTCAATTTTGGACTTAAAAAAATGTTTAAACCACAAAAATGCATTCAAAATTAGGCAAAAAATAATTAGTAGTTTAAATAGATGGTTGCCATTTAAGAAAAAAAATTTGTACTGTGCATGCTCAAGTATAATTAAGTTAAAAAAATTCAAAGGCTATAAAAAGGTGTATTTGTATGTCATAAAAACCAACTAGAAAGCCGAATTCAAATTGCAGGGCTCTACGCAAAGATATTGAGTGTTCTCAATTAGGGTTTACTCACTATACCTATATAGTATAATTAATATAAGAGTATGTTTATTGTCATAGGGCATTTAAATGTGTTATGAGTCGTGTAAAACATGAGTTATAATTTCTTGAAAATATATTTTATTGAACGTGAATGTTTACTATTAACATGAAAAAATAATGTACGAAAAAAAATAGTTGTGTAGGAACCTCTGCTTAACAATTTCCTCAAATGTAAACGTTTCCTTGTTACATGAGAAATCGAGTGAATGTCCAATCTTGTTTAAATATGAACTTCAAACTCTCTTAAAAATTTAATTTGATTGCTTGTAAACATTTATTTTTCAATAAAGGCAGATAAACTTATGAGGAATCTTGTATTACATTTTCATATCATAGATTAAAATACAAAAATGTTTATGAATTTCTAACAGTATAATTTACCTTTAATAAAATGCTATATGTATATTTTTGTTTAGGTAAACTTTAAAATTGGTTTGTTGGTACCAGAGTTATGACAAAATACAATAATGAAACTTACAGAATTGTCAACACAGATGGAAATTCTGACCATCCTTCTGAATTTAGCAAACAAGACGGGTCCAAAATGACTTGTATACAATATTACAAAGAAGAACATAACTATAATGATTAATATTTATTACTGTAGACCTAAATTAACATAATATTGATTACTGTATTATTTTTTGAAATCCACATTGGTTGTCTTCCGTCATAAATTGTTAAGTTCCATTAAGTACAGTAATCAATATTATGTTAATTTAGGTCTACAATAATAAATGGAACATAACAATTTGTGGCGGCAGACAACCAATGTGGATTAAAAAAATAAAAATCTATAAGATAATTTGGCGTTGAAGATACGTTGTGTTGTACCTTGTTCCAGAATTATGCATTATGACTGGTTTGACTGATGCCATGAGGTAGATAAATTGGTATTTTAATCAAAACAAGAAATTTTTTTAAATAATGATCATTATCTTGTTTTAAATTATAGAAATAATTTCACATCCATAAAACATATGGCCATATGCCCATATATCCCTGTATAAATCCCATAGAACTCATGGAAAGATTAACAAGCTTTGCTACTCGATGTCTTTCTACTCCTGAAGTAATTGTTATTAATATAGGTAGGTATTTTTTTTTTTAATTGTTTTTTCATTATTATTTAAGTAAATAAAAAATTATGAAAAACTTTTATTACATTTTGAAGCCTTAGCAATCACAATTTAAAACGTATTTGTTTTTTAACCGGAAAATTATTTGCAAATTTGAGTGATTTTGACGAATTATATCAACATTTTGTCTTATAGAAAATAATCAAATAATTATTAAGAGTATTAGTTAATTTATTATATTATTAATAGTTCAAGTTTTATATAAAACATTTCAATTTATAAGAAACCTTATATTACAATTTTAAACATCAGATTAAAAAAGTTAAAAGTGAAATGATTTTTTTGAGTAAGTTATTTTCTAGAAAGTTAGCCCCCTTAAAATAAATTATTCAATTCTTTCCTAAAATACTAACAAATCTTTAAAAATTAAACTGTATTTCTTATTTTTTTTTGTTTTGGAAAAAAATGTAATTATTTAATTTTTTAAATTTTTATTTAAACTTTTTTTTTATATTGCCTATGATAAATATGTAAATATAATAAGCTGTATGCTTGTATTCGTTTTAAGGAAACAATTTATGTCTTAATGATATCAATTATTTTGTATTTGGTAAGTTTATTACACATAATTTTACAGTACATTTACCTATATGCACTGAACTATAACATAGAGATAGGTAATAGAGGAATAAAAATTGTATGTAAATATGTAGTCTATGGTACAAGCACTACAATACAAAATACATACAACAAAAAATTTTTTATCACCAGGGTTAGAATTTTATAGCTTATTCATAGTTCTTAATTTCTTATATAATTTTTAGAGATAGTAGACTAGCAGAGTACCTAAACTTTTATAATTCAGAGTAATGAAATTAAAAATTTTATGTTTCATATTTTGAGATTGTTTAGATTTTAGTGCTACCTATTTCTCGACCTTTGAGATATTTTTGAATTTTGACCCATTTTTTAATCAAAACTAGGTAGTCATGTTTCATGAAAAGATATTATAATAAACGTGTTTTAGATTAAGTATAGGCTGATTCATTTATCAGTGGTAATTTTAAATAAGGTATTTAGGTAGGGATGTGGGGAGTTATTGTCAGTCATATCACCCCTCTATTCGTGTATACATACAATTTAACAAAGTTAAAATTACCACTGTCAACATTAATTATAATGTAGAATTTAAAACGTTATACCTAGTATTAGAAGTTTAGTTGATATTTTGTATTGTTATTTTAAACCTAACCTATTTCTTCTTATTTTCACCTACTAATTAGTACTCTATGTATTAGTTAACTGGAAATAGTAAGTTAACATCTGAGAATTTTGGAGATTTGTACCATATATAGGACATCTAATGTATTCTTTTTGTGGGTATAAACATTATGTTGGATGGTCGGAAGGTTTCTTCTGACTCTGCTCTTGGTTTGTTGTATCCGTTTCCGAGCCTGCAGGTAACTACAACAATATAAGTAGGTACATTATACATTATTCATGATATTAAAATATTAAATTGATATTACGTATGTGATAGTAAGGCCCCTCCCCCAAAGGTTAAAATAAAAATATTTATTAAATAAAAAATATTTAACGCCATTGGTGTAAATATGTTAAATCATTGATCATAAATACTAGTAGTATAATATTATACTATTTGTATAATCAATGGTAATGTAAATTTTACATTCAAAATTGATGTGAATAAAACTAAATTTTCTCTTTAGAACTCAATGGTCATAGATTAAATTGTACTAACATCCGACATGTTGCGGTTAAATAGTTAGGTACACGCGTCACTCAAAAGTACGGTACACTCATTTTCACCCAAAATTTAAGTTTACCGTGTTTCTAGGTTGGTCATTATTCGTATCATCGTGGACATCATTCAGAAATTTTATATCATCTTCATCAATAACAGTTAAGTTGGAGTGAACCAAAACCAAATTGTATTTGTGTTCTCCCATGTGTTCCATGTCATGATTACACTCTTCTCTCTCGTCACTGGTACTATTACAGTTCTGAACAAAAAATGAATATACAATAATTATGAATATTAAAAAGCTTACAACTTTATATAACCTTCATATAAATATAATGTACCTATACAATCTATTTTTTAATTATACCTATGTATAAAAATTAAAAATAACATTGTTTTGTATTTTTATTGTAATTTTTGGGTAATGATTATATTAGGTATCTAGTAAAATTAAAAACACTTGTTTAATGTTTTTTTTTATTATTTAGTTACTGTTTAACTTTTAGATGTCAAGTATGGGTTATGAATGCAAAAAAAAAAAAGGTGGGCAAGTGGGTGTCGCTCTGCTGTACAGTAGGTTACAAGTGGGTCACTGTATAATGGATGATATTAAATTTGAATTCAACGAAATAATATCATTGTATAAGAAAAACGATTCTGAACGGAGACGGTATATCAGTCTATGTATAAGACATATTATATACATATCTATGGTATTAAACAAAAAATTGACCTATAATAGGTACCTATAATAAATTCCAAATTAATCATATCACAATATCCATTAGGTACTTATAACGCGTTATACATCAACAAAAACCGTGATACTATCATAGATATATAATAGTACACTTTAGAAGTTTCAAGTACCCACGAATAATATTATTCAATCACAACAAAATAACTAAAATAGTTATTCTAGGTTTTTTAATATGTAATTTCGGCCAAATTTGAATTTAAAATGTCTGTAAAACATAACTGTGTTCATATATTTTTTAGATTTTTTGGTTACAGTATGAACTATTTGTGAGAACCTTTGTTTTAAATTTGCAATCCTTAGCTATAAAAATTGAACATTTTATAATTTATTAATTTCAATGATTGATAATTTTCGAGATTTTGATAATTTTGTCAATTTTTTGAATTACAACAAAATAAGGAAATCGCTACATGGGAAATCGAGTGAATATTCAATGTTGTAAAAATTTGAATTTCAAACGCTCATAAAAATTTAATTTGACTTTCTTATAGACATTTTTCTTTTGATAAAGGTAGATAATCTTATAAGGAATCTTGTGTTTAATTTTCAAATCTTAGATTTAAAAAGAAAAATTTTTACGAATTCTTAACTCAAAATAATTTGCTAATTTTCGTGATTTTTCCATATTTTGTCAATTTTTGAACTTTAAATGCTTATAAAAAAAAATTGTGACTAAGGATTTTTAATATTTTTCATCTGCCTTTGAAAAAATATATTAGGAGCTTTCTATTAAATTTTCAAGCTTTCGCAACCAACAAATAAAATTTTATTGATATTTTTAGAAAAAAAAAATAAAAAAAAATGGAAAATGAAAATGTCCCTAAACAGTTCAAAATAAATCAAAATATTTTGAAAATGTTATCGTGTATAGAAAATGCAAATATAAACAACCAGTGAAAATTTCATGTATATACGTTCATTTGTTTTAGAGTTACACCAAAAACCAAAATCGATTTTTTGGAAAACCAATTTTGCATAAAAATTCCCGTTTTTCCTTAATTTTTATGTTGTTTTTCCCGGCGCTTGTGAAAACTACTGTTTTACTAATTTATACTTAGACCCCCAAAGTACCAACTAGATTCACTTTCCTATCAGAAAAGCTACTGATGAAGAAAATCCAAGCACTTTTACTGTCCTAAAACGTGATGACAGACACAAAAAAAAAATAAATAAATAAAAAAAAAAACACACATCATTGTAAAATCAATACATTCATCGTTTCACTCAGAATCTAAAAAAATTAAAAATTAGAATAAAATATCTTCAATACATAATTTTGATTGCAAATAATTTACAATAGTGGAATAAAAGATTTGTTAAAAATAGGAGACAAGTTTAATTTAACTTAAAATTATTAATAGTTTTTTATTTTCTTATTGTATCCAATATTTTTTATAATTATTATACATCTATTATATTAATTATAATAAATTAATAAAATTAGAATTATATTTTCTGAAATGTATATAGATTTTTATTTATTTGTTTTTTAACCTTTTAAACTTTTTGAGTTAGACATGGAGGGACATTCTTAACTTCATCAATATAGATTTTAATTAAATAGATATTTGTTAAAATTTAAACTACCTATCACTAGATAAATTAGGGTGCATGATTAATTACAATGTCTATAACTATGTCTTCAAATTTTGTTTTGAAGGTTCAGGGAATATTTTAGCTTTCACACTGCTTACTCTCAAAAAAACAATGAATCATTAAACAATTATTAGATTCTGAGTGAAACGATGAATGTATTGATTTTACAATGATGTGTGTTTTTTTTGTTTATTTTTTTTTTAATTTTTAATTTTTTTTGTGTCTGTGTACACGATAAGTAGTCGAAATAATGCTTCGATTTTCAACTTCAGTATCTTGTTCGATTGGAAAGTGAATATCGTTGGTGCATTGGGGAGGTCAAAATTTCACAGTAGTTTTCAAAAGCGCCGGGAAAAACAAAATAAAAATTAAGGAAAAACGGGAAATTTTACGCAAAATCGGTTTTCCAAAAAATCGATTTTGGTTTTTGGTGTAACTTTAAAACAAATAACCGTAGATACATGAAATTTTCAGTGGTTGCTAATATTTGCATTTTCTATACACGATAACATTTTCAAAATATTTTGATTTATTTTGAACTGTTTAGAGACATTTTCAGTTTCCAATTTTATAAGTTTTTTTTTTTATAAATATCAATAAAAATTTATTTGTTGAGTAAAAATACTTGAAAATTTAATACAAGGCTCCTACTAAATTGTTTCAAAGATAGATGAAAAATATTAAAAATCGTTAGTCACAGTTTTTTTTTTAAGCATTTAAAGTTCAAAAAATGACAAAATATGGAAAAATCACGAAAATTTGCAAATTATTTCGAGTTAGAAATTCATAAAAATTTTTCTTTTTAAATCTAAGATATGAAAATGTAATACAAGATTCCTTATAAGATTTCCTAAATTTATCAAAAAAAAAATTCTATAAGAAAGTCAAATTAAATTTTTATGAGCGTTTGAAATTCAAATTTTTACAACATTGGATATTTACTCGATTTCTCATGTGGCGATTTCCTTTTTTTGTTGTAATTCAAAAATGAATTACTGCAGATAAATGAAAATTTCACTGAATGTTTATATTAGCATTTCCTATACACCATACAATTTTGAAAATATTTTGACTCTTTTTGAGCCGTTTACGGACATTTTCAGTTTTCAATTTTTTTAGTTTTTTTTTCTATAAATATTAATAAAGTTTTATCTGTTGGGCCAAAAAGTGTGAAAAATTAATACAAGGCTCATGATATATTGTAACAATAGCAATTGAAAAATATTAAAAATACATAGGCACAATTTTTTTTTATAAGCATTTAAAGATCGCATTTTGACAAAATTTATCAAAATCTCGAAAATGATCAACCATCGTAATTAATAAATTATAAAATGTTCAGTTTTTATAGCTAAGGATTGAAAATTTTAAAAAAAGATTCTCATAAATAGTTCACACTGTAGCCAAAAAATCTAAAAAATATATGAGCACAGTTATTTTTTACAGACATTTTAAGTTCAAATTTGGGACGAAATTACATATTAAAAAACCTTGCAAACCTATTTCAGTTATTTTGTTGTGAGTGTATAATACTATTCGTGGGTACTTGGAAACTTCTAAAGTACACTATATGTCTATATTATATATCAATGATAGTATCAGGGTTTGTTATTGATGTATAACGTGTTATAAGTACTTAGTGGATATTGTGATATGATTAATTTGGAATTTATTATAGGTCAATTTTTTTTTTAATACCATATATATGTATATAATATGTCTTAAACCTAGACTGACATACCGTCTTCGCTCAGAATCGTTTTTCTTATACAATGATATTGTATCATTGAATTCAAATTTAATACCATCCATTATACTGTGACCCACTTGGAACCTACTGTACAGCAGAGCGACATCCACTTACCCACCTTTTTTTAGTTTAATAATACTATAATAACTTTAATATTACCTATTGTTTATATCTCATCAATATCATTTAGGATAGCATAGGAAATGTATTATTATCTGACTAACATACCTAATATATAATAATATCATAGATTTTTAGATTCTGAGCGGAGCAAGGAAGCTAGTGGTTTTACAATGGTGTTTATTTAATTTTTTTTATTTTTTTATATCCTGTATACAAAATTTCTACCAGAAGGAGTGCTTTGATTTCAACATATAGTACCTTATCTTTTAGCAAATTGGACCAAGATGGTACTTTAGAGAGGTCATTTTTCGATTTTCTCAATAGTTATTTAATGCCACTGGAAAAAGTACTGAAAAATTACGAAAAACCGCTTAAAATGGGATTTTAATTTCTAACAATTTGTTTATCACCGTAGCAACGAATAAAAAAAATAATAATTAAATAAATAAAATAATTAATGACAATATAAAATATACAGACTGACAAACCGTCTCCGTTCAGAATCGTTTTTCTTATACAATGATATTATATCATTGAATTCAAGTTTAATACAATCCATTAAACAATGACCAACTTGTAACCTACTGTACAGCTGAGCGACATCCACTTACCTGCCTTTTTTATAATGTGGATAATATGAGATGTGAACAATATTTAGACACTGAACTGGTAATTGGTATAAAAACTTAAAAACTTAAATTATCCATCGAAATTGGAAAATTATTCTTGTAAGTTGGTAGTACCGAAATTGAAAACTGTGGTTCATACTAATTGAGTTCAATAGTTAAATAATATTATACTAATTATTGATAAACAATAAATATACCAATACGATTTGGAAACGAAAAACATAATACATATCTAATGGCTAATTGAGTCATTGAGGTGACAATGTGTCTTATCATTTTGTTGGATTTTGTTGGATGAAATTAAAAATTGTGTGTGTAAAAATGAAAAATAAGTACCTAGTATAATATCTTAAACACCTCAGGACTAAATTATTATATGGGTACAATGCTAAAACAACTCGACTCAATTTTATCTAATAGATTTTAATGGGACTCAGTTGGTATGCAGCCAAAAAACTAACATACCGTAAGAGCAGGATACTTTACTCCAGGGGATAAACATTGCTCCAAAGTATATATATTTATTGATATCAATCGTAGCACATTACGATTTTGAGATCAGAGATTGTAGTTTTTTTTATATTATTCTTATTAACATTAGGTACTAATTTTTTCAAACATTACGAACATAAATCTATTAGGTTGCCTCCAAGATGTATGTCATGAACAAAATTGTTTTAAAAAACACAAAAACACATAACGGAAAAGTCATCCAAAATCTAGGGGATTGAAATTTAATTTAAAATGTGTTAAAAAAAACTTTTAATCAACTAAAAAAAAAAAAAAGTATCATTCAATTATATTATGTATAGTTTCAAATAAGTTAAAACACAAGCACTAAACATTACACCAATAGTTATTATGTGCATTAAAGTAAGGTAATTTTAATCATTGTGCAATGTAACCTGCAATGTATTTTGACTTTGCTCCAAAGTTTTGGGAATAAGTAAAATGTCACTAGTACGACATTCGGATTTTTTTGAATTGTTCTTACCTGTCAACATCTATACATATAAAACAACGCGAACAGGTAATTTTTATCTTTGTTATTGAAGCTAAAGTATCCCACTCTTACGGTATTTATTTATAAAGTAGGAAAATTAAATACTATCTTTAAAAAAAAATTTAGTCAGGTAATAATTAATAAAATACTCGTCTGGCGGAGTTGGAACTTCTTCTACTTTGATTAGTCATATCTATATTAACAACTTCTTCGGATGATTCCATATTAATATTGAAACAATCAGAAGATGGTCCAGCTTTTTTGCTATCAAGCAAATTTCGTTGAATGGCATTACTAAGATTTAAGTCGGAATCCGAACATAGTCTGTCACCATATCCATCAGAATTATTTTCATCGGATAAATACTCCGTACGGTTCGTTTGTACATCTTCCAGAAGTGATTGTTCCTCTATGCAACTGTCTTCTGAGTTTTTTTGATCAATTAATTTAGGTACCTATATTATAAGTTATAAAATGTAAAAATATATTGTACACTCTCTACTTCACTTTTTGTCAAATAAAATTTACCCTTAGTTTCTAAGAAATTATGTTACTTTGGGGTTCTCAATATCTACACATGGACACAAATATATTATTAATTGTATTGTTATTCTTATTCTATAGAAATATAGATACACAATACAATCAAGGTATCACGAATATTCGTTAAATAAAAACTTGCTAAAAATAACAGAATTATTGCACCATTTTAAATTAGTGGTTCAACACACGGAACTATCACTCTGTACTTTTATGAGATAATATTAATTTTAATTTTACCTCTACAAACTGTAGCATTATTCGCAATACGCTCCAAGCTATGAAGATAGGTGAACTAAAGACGATGATCATATTTATATATTCCAATAGACTCGAAAATATAACTACTGGTGTTTGGGGAAACGAGTTACATCTACTCGGAAATAGACAGCACATAATGCTGTCGTCTGCATACATGGTTTATTTATCGATAACAATTTATATACTTATAATTTTTTTTTAAATTTAGCGATCACATACGATCCACATAATATTAAAAAATTAAATGTTTTGTTTTGTTTACATAATAAATAATAATGGTAAGAAATTTGTATTAATATGTATAATTATACACATTATTACAAACTCTTTGACTAGCCAGTGACTTGCAATTGTAAAATAGTATATGATACCAGAATAGTATTGCCTATCATGGTCATCCTAGGAGTAATATTATGCATTATTTCTGGTTGAAACCACTATAACGAAACAAAAAGTAATGAGACACATTACCTTTTTTTTGGATATTTGATATTATCACACAATATAGTCTATAAACCCTATTATAACCATCATTAGATTCGTGTAAAATTAAAGCCTCGCATTATCTATCACTATTATAATAATATCTACGGTGACTCAACAGCAATAGTAAGTATACGCAGTATGGATTCAACATAATATGCACGAGGTGTAATTCAACATCAAAATTTGCATATTATTCATTATAATATTACAAAATGTAAGCGATAAAGATGAACCGTATTTTTAAATTGTATTTACATTTTTTGGGAAAACAGAAACTCGCACATTCGGTGGTTCTGACAAGGACGATGGAAAAACATTAAAGTAAAATATACCTATATATAATAAGTTTTATACGAGTATATATTAGAGGTACTCATATTATATTATAATTTATAAATAAATCAGTCCACCTGTAGTTGTATACACTCGTCCTTTAAACAAGTGCAATACTCAACATCTGAAATTCACTTCAACTGACATCAAGCAAATTATAATATCTTATATACAATGGTAGGTACCTATATATGTGTAGACGTGTCACATGTAGTGTGTTCTACTTAAATTGAATAGATTCTGCAACTTTTAAATGACAAGTGCAGTCTGTATCGTTGAGTTATAAACAATCCAAGATTAAGGGTGACAGTGCGGCTATTTTTTTTTAAAAATATAGCCTATACATCCTTGGGATAGTATTGCTTTCTATAGGTAAACTAATTTTTAAAATTGGTTAATAAGTTTCAGAGATTACCCCAACAAACAAACATTTTTCCTTATTCATATATTACTCAATATTAATATAGATTAATGGTTACTTATTAATACATATTAACTATTATTTAATAATAACTAATTTATTTCATAAATTTTCATAGAAGTGGAAAATATCTAGTAGCGCTTATGTCATACGAACACCACTTTTTACCGAAAAAATGATCATTATAATACATACATAATATACCATACATAATCTGGGGCAAAATGTAGCATTTCAAATGAATTAATTAATATACATCATTCTGTTTATAGAACTATTTGTATAAATTATTGAGATGTAGGTTCATTATTTCATTATTATTTTTAAACTTTTATGTATATTATATTATTATTATTTTTTTTTATATTAACATAAAGGCTTCAATTACACAGATTATTAGCTTGAAATTAAAAAGGATTAGTACATTATAATATTTACAGTTTTTTATCAAGTTCTATTTTTTTGAAAAATGATATATTATTTTTATATTATTTAATTTTCTCAATTAACACATTAAGAAGTATTTTTTAAATTTATTTATTTATTATAACAATATGAATTTTACTAATTGTAATAATGACAGATCCATTTTAATTATAGTTATTTTAGATTCTGAGCGAGGCCAGGAAGCTACTGGTTTTACAATGCTGTTTATTTATTTTTTTAATTTTTCTTTTATTCTGAATGTAAAATTTCTACCAGAAAGAGTGTTTTGATTTCTACATAAAGTATCTTATCTTTGAGCAAATCGGATCAAGATGGTACTTTAAATTCGTAAAAATCGCAAATTATTTTGTCAACATAATATTGTCTTCGTTCTTCGCTTTAAATTGTTTTTCATCGTAATTCATAAACAGTTAAATTCCAATTTAAATAAATTACCTAATCCATCTATTACATAATACAATTATTTTATAATATTGTTATAAATTACTAATAACTAGAGATGATAAGCGGTTAGAAAAGTGTATGAATTTGTTAGCTAGGTATCCAAGTTTTTTAATCATCTAGTCAAATCAAATTACGTACAAATTAGTAGTAACTAGTACTTAGTAACATTGATTATATACCTACTATTATCATAAATCAATGTAGTTAATACCTATTGAATTCTATTTGCATTTATTTATATGGCAAATTTATTCACTCAGTGATTTCCGTGATTTTTAATATAGGTAAATTAAATTATTCATTTTTTATCTCACCTAAGGGGATCTTATGAGAGTTATTTGGATGATACATTTTCTAAAATCGAAGCTCGACGGTACTCAGTTGGCTCATAGTAACGTTGTAAGTACTGCAGAAACTACAAAGGTGACAATATTTTATATAATGTAACAGAATGTAGGTAACACGAACGTATGCTATGATCGTGATTGCCGTTGAGCGAGTAGCTACTGCTGCAGTGCTGCCTCGCGTCGTCACTACAGCCGCCGAGCCGCCGCCGATACGGAAGAAAAGTTTTTTTTTTTTAACTTTTTTTTTTTTTTATTAAATGAATATTTACAATCTGTATACAATATAATACAATAAGTAAATTAAGATGGCTTAAACGAGAAAAAAAAGAAACGAAAAACATGAAGGCTTGAGAGAAGGGGGCGCCCATTGACACCACTTCAAAAAAAAAGGGAGAAAAGTTACGACTATAGACCATGAGTCCATGAGCACCTTTGTTTTTAGATTTAGTTCGTACGTTTTAGATCAGGTTGATCAACCTCACAGACCAAAAAAAAAAAATGAAATGAAGTTTTTTATGAAACGATGAAGGGGCTAGCCGGGAAAAAACGTTCCTGACAAAATACTATAATATATACTATATTATAATATATCCATTATTCAACAGTTATTTGAGCCAAAACATCCAATTTTTATTCCATCATACTGATCGATCTTGTAATGTGATAATACTTTTAAAAACAGATTTGAATTCGTTATTATGTCTACTTGAGATTGGTCAATCCACTTTTCACAATTTCAACCCCCCCCCCCCCCCCCCCCCCCCCAACCACTAAAAATTTAGCTTGAATATTTTGAAATTACGGATTTTTCAAACTTTAATTATTCGGGAATTATTCGGAATTAAAAAAACTAAATATCTTGAAAAATATACAAAATATAAAATGTGAATAAAAAATACAATTGAAATATCATTATACTTCTGTTTACAATTGTATACAATTATACAAATTACTGTTCAATTAAATAAATGTAAAATTAATGGAAAATTGTAATATTAATTTTGGAACAAGTGATTTTATATATTCAAATTAGAAATTTCTGCGATTGTCAAGTAGCATAGATGTATATTTCACGACAAGGTGCTCTGCTGTACAGTAGGTTACAAGTGGGTCACTGTATAATGGATGGTATTAAATTTGAATTTAATGATAAAATATTATTGTATAAGAAAAACGATTCTGAGCGAAAACGGTTAGTCAGCCTATGATATTACGAAGTATATTTGATGATACTAAGGTGGATAAAGTAATTTATATAATATAATCTATTTACGTAGAATCTTGTTTTAAATTCACTATCTATAAAAGTTGAACATTTTATACATTTTTAACTGCTAAATTATTATAAAATTTTAAATGTGATACATTTTGTCAAAATTTGACATGTATAGAAAATGGAAACATAAACAACCAGTGAAATTTTCATGTATCTACGGTCATTTTTTTTAAAGCTACACCAAAAACCAAATTTTTCTTTTGTTTTTCACGGGGCTTTTGAAAACTACTGGAAAAATTTGACTCCCCCCTCCCCATTGTACCAACTAGATTCATTTTCCTATCAGAAAAGATACTGTTGAAGAAAATCCAAGCACGTTTACTGTCCTTAAGATGATGGCAACACAAAAAAAAAAATTAAAAAAATTAAACAACACACATCATTGTAAAATCAATACATTTATATCGTCCCACTCAGAATCTAAAATCAGAGTAAAAAAAATACTATCTATTAAATATATTATATATATTATCTATTAAATTATTTGGTTGATTGGTTGAGTTATTTTATGTTTTGGAGCTTTAAAAAATATTATTTTTGAATAATTTGTTTTAATTATATATGCTTATCCCAAATGAAAACGATAATCCTTAAGTTGTGTTAGTATGATTTGGTATGTTCAGCAGCTCCTCCCCCTTAAATTTTACATGTAAAAGCATAGGCTTCTCTGTATAGGCAATTCGTAGTACAGGCTCCTCCCAAACTTGTATTAATTACTCAATATAGGCAACCCGCAACACACATAAACTCGTCACAAGCCACCCGATCCAACACGTGACCGACATATATTTTATGCCTTCCCCTTCAAATACATTACCTCCCCTTTTATTTACCCTTTTAAAAAATATATACAATATACTGATGTACATTTGTATCGACAATATCGAACACTTGTCCGACATATATTTTACCCCTTCCTAATCAAATATATTACCCCTTCTTATTTTCCCTTTAAAAATAAAAATATATAATATTCTGATGTAAATATGTATCGACTATATCATACATACTAATAATATAATATAAGGTAACAACATAACACATATCTAAAAATATTATGCCATTTTCAGATTATAATCCCATTCGAATAAACATCTCGCTAAAGCATACACCGCGATGTATCTCAAATATATTATAATATAGTTTACATATATAGGTACATACTTACATAATTTATATCCAAATAATAATTATATACTCATCATTATCACAAACTCCTGAACATATTATACAATTTACATAATATATACGATACTTAGGTATATTTATACATATAAATATGATATGACCAAACACTTAATAACTATAATATACTATGAAACACACGATACCATACGGTACTCATCAGTTTTCATTCTGAACACACGCTCAACATATATATATATATACCTTATCATACATA